AGCCCAAAATCAAGTACCATCTTTTCAAGCATCAGCACTTTTCCTAAGCATTGATAGTGGAACATTTTAAGATTTCTGCATTTGAAGATCAAAGGGTTTCTCCATGCAAACACCAGCACAGAAGGTTGTTTGATTTAGCAACAAAAGACCCTTTGGCTCAAGGTCAGTAAAAGTGGAAGCACCATTTCTACCATGTCACTGTCCCAGGCACCTTGCAAAGCAGCTGATTAGAACACTGACAGTTCTAAATCAACTAACTTATTTGTTTTAACCCTCCCAACACTGATTCTAGTTATTGCCCCAAAGGAAGCTGTGCACCATTACCCTGTTCAGCTCTACAGGAAAAGGAATTTCATGCAGGAAGTCCAAATAAAGACACAGACCTAAGTACCCTGATGTAACATTTTAAACTGTTCTGGTTAGCTCTGCTGCAGCCAAAATATTCCCTGCAAAAATACTCTGGATGTTAAAATCATTGAGCAAGTGTTTGCCTTCTGGGCTGTAACCGCTCAGAAATACCCAAAATATGCTGTTATTCCCCCTGTGCAACTACTCCAACCTTTCCTCATCCAGCTGAGACTGTCTCCTGTGGGTGGCATCAGGGCCTCAGAGCTTCCCAGCAGTGCTCTCCTCACATGGATGGAACAGTGCCCATGGGGAATGGACCAGACCTGAAGGGGTGTGGGGCTCCTTTGCACTAGTCACACGATCACAGACTGGTCTGGGTTGGAAGGGACCTTAAAGCTCATCCAGTTCCAAACCCTTGCCACAGGCAGGGACACTTTCCACTAGAGCAGGTTGCTCCAAGCCCCATCCAACCTGGCCTTCATCAACCAATAACCTTAATCAACCAAGCTGAGCCTGAATGGCACAATTGCAAGATCACCCCCAAAAACATCAGTGAGAACACTGCACACAAAAGCAGTGCAGCAAAGTACCAGACCCTCCTATTCCCAAGTCCTCTGTTAAACCAGGAGAATTTCACATCACCAAAACACGTGTATGGTGCTGAGATGTCCTCAGGCACCACAGAATGGTTAGGGTTGGAAAGGACCAGCTGCCACCTGAGAAGGAAGTGCTCCTTGGTAGATCACGTCACATTGCCTCATGCAAGTATCTCAGATACTATCCAACACCTAAAACACCGGCAGAGGTGATATCAGCAGTCGGAGCTGCTGCCCTGCTATGCTCCTCCTAGATATAATTGTTCTGTGTGATCACTTTCTGAGTGGCTGGCAGATGATTGAAAAATACCTTCCATGCTTTTCAGTCTCAAAGTGATTTTGTCCTGCAGAAACAGGGTACATTCCAGGGAAACATCAGCATTCAATGAGCCCCTCCTGCTGCTGGCCAAGTGCTCTCTGCAGTCACTGGCAGGACTACCCTTCCTGAATGCATCTGATCAGAGCCATGTACCGCCTGCTCTGTGCTTGCTCTACCCAATTCACACATCTCTATGCACCTGATTAAAGCTAGGACCAACATGAAGCATGCAAAGATGGAAGCAAAGGGGCATACAGCAAAGCAGACAATTGGCTCATGCTCTGCCTCTTTTTTTCCTGCCTATCTACCATCAATACCCTACACACGTTCCCCTCTGCTTGTGAAGACAGGCACTGTCCCGAGGATTTCCAGGCAGCTCGGGAGCAGTTAGGCAAGCTAATGAATAGTAATGCAGCTGGCACTGGGCAAGAGAAGTGCCCTTCCCCTCCCTCTGCCCTCCAGGCATCTCTGTTTGGAGCACAGGATACAAAGGGTAGCTCTCCCCGGGGCTCACCAGGCTTTGCCAACATGCAGTTGTGATGAGGGCAGTTTCCCCAGGGTATGAAGACCTTTCAATGCCTTTGCTTCCCCTCCTGCCTCCTCTGCAGCCACAGCCCGGACAGCGCAGCAGCAGCACAGGCGCTGGCAGGCCGAAGGGGCAAAACCAGTTTGCTACAGGGCTGGAAACAGGTTCTGTTGGCCCCACAATTAACTACTGAGTTTTGCCTCTTGTAGGAGCACTCAGGATCACACCTTCGATTCATCCCACAGGGCAGGAACGGGAAAATTCTGCACTTGTACTGCTCAGGATGAGCAAAAAGAAATCCTAACCCAGGAATGTGTATTGGCAGCCACACTGAACGTGCCATGGCCAGCACCACTGAACACAGAGGGACACCACGTCCACCAGGGCTTTGGCATCTATATCATTTGAGTCTTTTGTAACAGCTGCAGCACAAATGAACAGAAGTGGGCTTTAAACCCATGAAGGTTTTCAACCTCTTTGGACATTTTAGATATGAGGCAGAAGCTCTTCCCTGTGAGGGTGCTGAGGCGCTGGCACAGGGTGCCCAGAGAAGCTGTGGCTGCCCCATTCCTGGCAGTGTTCAAGGCCAGGTTGGACACAGGGGCTTGGAGCAACCTGCTCTAGTGGAAGGTGTCCCTGCCTGTGGCAGGGGTTGGAGCTGGATGGGCTTTAAGGTCCCTTCAAACTAAGCCAGTCTGGGATTCTGTGATTAAAATTCAAAAAATTATCCAGAAATTCTCGCTGAGAGTTTGCCATGGTGGAGTCTTTGGGGAGTTTTTGTTTCCTGAGCTTACACTGCATCCTATCTTCTGCCTCCTACCAGCACAATGTCTTTAATACTGCATCTCCAGGCAGAGCTTGGGAGAGAGAAATTGTCTGTGAGCCTGAACTAAACATTCAAATGGACACACAACTCTCTCCAGCTCCACAAGGAGCCTGACGGATTTTTTTGGTCAAAACATGTCAGGTCACATATGAAGCTCCGAGTGGGAAGTTAAGCCTTTCCCTCATGTAAACCCCCACCTTTCAAACACAATGAAGTCCTGAGCAACCTTAGTTTTTGTCCTGAAGACCAGAACTTGCTCAGAAATTCCTGCTTTGTAACTTGTCCTTTGTTTGGTGCAGCCTCACTGCCAGCAGAAGCCGACCTGCATATGAGACTACTTCAGTCTCCTCCAGATGCACAGGTACAGATTCTAATCACTTTGAAGTGATGCCAAAGACAGTAATCTCTGATTGGACTGAGAGGCAGGACTGATAAGAGGCAAGTTTAAGCACCACTCGTGTGATAATTACATAGTTGTAAAAACTGTACCAGTTGGCAGTACACAGAAAATACAAAGTTTGGAATACTTTGGGAAAGCAAAGACAGGCTTCTGTCAGAGACCAGCATGGAGCTGAGCTCTGTGTGGTTCTCTAGGGAGCTCTCATAGCAGGTACCAAACAAGCATTCTTCAGAGAGCACTGATTCCCAAGCGTCCTGTCTCCACAAGTGATTGACACGATCTGCAGCCAAGATCTCCCTGAAACTGGGAGGGTGCTCCTACTGTCCACCATCAAACCCTTCACTGCACACACCAAAGTCCATCCAGAAGTTGTGAGGAAGATGTTGGCTATCATTTCATGGCTAATCTCATCTCAGGTCTTGATCCTGCAATGGACCAGATCTTGTGATAACCTTCAAACTTGTGAGGACGAAAAGGAACCCTGAAAAGTTATTTCACTGGGTAAGATCACCGAGATCAAGAGGCAAGACCCCTTTCCTTTCCTCACAGAGCCTGGCCTCTCGCATGGGTATGCTTGATAAACTACACACAGAAAAGGAATATTCACCACTGAAAATATAGTAGGTTTAACATGCCATGCTGCTGGGCATTCTATCAATGGTCTGCCTTAAAAAACACATCCTCACACCTTTTGAATTGTTCTTTTTACTTCTGACCCATAACAGAGAGAATACCTCATGAAGACAGGCTGAGAGAGCTGGGCTGGGTCAGCCTGGAGAAGACTCCTGAAGGGGACACCTTAGAGCAGCTCCCAGTGTCTGAAGGGGCTCCAGAAAACCTGGAGAGGGGCTTTGGACAAGGGCCTGTAGGGACAGGACAAGGCGAATGGCTTGAACCTGCCAGAGGGGAGATTAAAACGAGCTCTTAGGCAGAATCTCTTCCCTGGGAGGGTGCTGAGGCGCTGGCACAGGGTGCCCAGAGAAGCTGTGGCTGGCCCATCCCTGACAGTGTTCAAGACCAGGTTGGACACAGGGGCTTGGAGCAACCTGGTCCAGTGGAAGGTGTCCCCGCCCGTGGCAGGGGGTTGGAGGTGGAGGAGCTTTAAGGCCCCTTCCAACACCAACTGGTCTCTGACTTTACAATGATTCTGTATTTAAAATTCAGTCATTTGGTATGCACACACAGTGCCCAAGATCTCAAGTGCATGAGACTGTAAGTTATCAAAGGCCCACACTGACCATTCCAATGGATTTTCAAAGGCAGATTCCAGCCAATGGTCAGAAATCCTTAATGGCTGCAGAATACCAAGTGAGAGGAGTTACAGAAAAGGAGCAATCACTCCCCATGAGGTTGCAATTCCACAGGGATATCATGATCACATAAATCATCACTAATGTCCTGTTTACCCTGTATTTTCTTGACATTTCATTGTCACATATGTATTTATTGTGGTACCAGGCCAAAACGTGGTTTTCTGAACTCTCCCATTCATGCACCAAGAAAAAATAACATACTGCTACCCTTCTTCCTGTGTTAGTAAGATTACTTGTGTCCCACAGCACAAGAGGTAGAAGTCACAGTATCAACAGTCACCCAGTAAAGCTGCTGCAAATGATCCGAGTGGAGCATGCAAAAGGAATCTAACATTTGTCCTGATTTACTCACACTCCTTGTTAGCTGTCTGAAGAGAACTCTCTTTTCCCCTCTCCTTGTAAGTGACATAACTACCAGTGTTCACTTACAAATCAGTGCAGGAAAGTAAAGGAATGTACTTGATAATCTTATTAAATGCTCCAGCCAAACATCAGGAATTAAAACATCAATGTTCTTCCTTGCCCTCCCCTGCATGTATGATTTTGCTGTATGCAACTGTAAAATTGTAATAGCAGGACTACAATATCCAAAGCTGGATATTCTGAACATCTTAAAATCACATGTCCAAGCAAATAACCCTGAGGAAATGGGAGTGGGAAATCCATACTCACCTGGACGTGATCTGTCCAGTTCTCCTGAGACATGGTTTTCTGGAAAGACAAAATTACTTCTGAGCTGTCTTTGAAAAAAATAATGCTGCTGCATAGAGCAAGCTGAAATTTCACACACATCTTCCACACTGGCATCAACTGTGCTTGAGGAATGTGTTCTGGAGCACATGGGAAATCTCTGCTTCTCAGATGTCACCAGCTGGGGCACAGCACAAAAACAGCTCCAATGAAGTAATTCAGACAACTGCTACACTACATGGACAAAACCCCTCATCTGCCCAAGTACACAGGCAATGGCAGGACCTCACCCAGGAGTAGCCTGAAATCTCATTATTAGCTGGAGCTGGGCTCATCTGCACTAAATGGATCACCTTAACAACCCTCTGCAAAGTGCAGCCATTTCTGAGTGCCTCAAGGCTCACATGGTGCTCTTGGAATGACAGAGACAGCACTGAGCGAAGCTGAAACAGGGCGTGCTCTGGGGGAACATGTGGATCACTGCTGCTGCCTTTACCTTGGATTTGCAATATGTCCATAGATTGCTCACCTCAACAGCTACCCCAGCAGAGCCATCCCCACAGGCTCCAGTAATGGAAGTTATCTCAGGGATCATCTGCAAGGCTGAGCCTTCAAAATACTTCTCTCAACAGCCAAGTCATGAAAAATCCTCTGGAAACATGAGGTTTTGGAAACCCATAGGATAAAATCCTCATTCCAACGCAGCTCAGAGCCAACCTTCAGGAGAAACCAGGATGGCACCTTCTCTCCACTCTGCCAAGAACATGGGCTGCCTGAGACTGACCAGCCAGTGAGGCCTGAGCCTCCCTCCACTTCTGGCAGAGGTAACAAGGATCACTAGAGCCACTTCATGGAAAGGTACAAGAGTAAATAGGGAGTAAAAGACTCAAAGTAAACGTCTTTGAGATATACAAGCATGTAATTTAAATACTAGTGATATAAAGGAGGCATTTAACCAGCTGAGAATGGTAAACAGAGAACACGAAATTGCTCTCAGAAGAAGGGACTGTGTCCAGAAACAGCTGCCAAATGTACCTTAATGGAAGTAACCAGCCAGCTTGGATACTTTAAACCAAGCAAATACTCCAAAACAAAGGAAGTGGAAGGCCAAAGAGAGCAGAACACCAGATCAAGAATCCATTCCACTCTGCTAAGCAAATACACCTGGATAAATGCTCTTTGCTCTTTCATTGCAGATGACCAAGCTCTCTAGAATGATGTCATCCAACATTAAAGCTTTGAGATGCAGGATGCTGAAAGACTCAGTCCTCCCCAGGTCTTCTGTAAATGGGTCTGGCAAGCAGCAAAGGCAGATCAGAGCCTTCACTGATGGACCAAGAGGTCCTGGAAGCAGAACTGGCTGTGCCAGAATGGTGTCATCAGGTCACCACCACTCAACCCCATCTTCATGTTCAAAGAACTGGGGGGTAGAGGATCAGAAAAAACGCATGGATCTGCCTTCCTCTGTCAGAACATCAAATGAATCCTCTTTGAACACAAGAACAGGCACTTCTGGAGGAGGTGTCTCATTTACTGAAAACTGTCTCTCTGAAGACTGGATCAGGCATTCTGTAGGAACACCTGAACAACCTGTTGGGTTCTGTTAAAACTGTCAAAAAAGCTTCTTGTATCTACAAGCAGAAAGTCTTCCATGACCTGCAGGTGAAACACCAGCCCATGTTTGGCCAGTACAGCTTGATAATGCAAAATTCAAGACATGGAAACATTTTGCTAGGATATTTGCTCTCTTGTGGTCCTTGTTATTCACAGTCCAATTGATAGACCTGGATACAACACGTGCAAGCTGTTTTTTCCAGAAGAGGCAGAATAAAACCTTACTCTCAGCTGGTACAATCTGTTTCCAGGCACAGGATAATGATGAATGCCAGCCTGGCAAGAGAAGCACTGAAACTGCCCCACTAACAAGAAGAGAAATGTGCTCCCCAGCGCAGTGTGCTCAAGAGCATCCAAAGGGCAGTGGTTTGGCTCAGTACACTAATGCGAGGGGACGAGAAACCACAGTGAAGTAATTCTGCAGAGAGTCAGCCTCCAAGCTGCCTCCTAGAAACCTGCTCCTTTGGAAGAACTAATGGCATCTTCTTATTTCTATAAGCCTTCAGTGCCAGGACAAGTACCAGCATATTTGGAAAGAGAATTTGGAGGCTGGACAAAAGAAGGGGAAAGTACTACCAACTTTGCTCAGCAGTAATATGGCTGTTAGCACAAAAATGCTTCCATGGCAAGTTTGGGCCATACCTATCACAGCCAGGCCACAAGTACCAAAGCAAAGTGCCTACAAAGAACCCAGCACTGTGAACTGCCTAAATCCTAGTGTTAAAAAACCCAACACAAAACCCCCCAAAACCTCCCTAGCCAATATGCTCCTGCTTATCTGAGACAGCTGAGAGAAAATGCATGTGTGGAGAGCATACCCTGACCTACCTAGATGTGTCTCAGAACACTGCTGAGGATGCTGAGGTGAACCAGCACCCAACTCTGCCCAGTCACCACACCCAGTCATTAGGATATGAATGGACACGCAAACTATTCACTTAGAACAAACAGGCCCAACGGCAGATCCATGGCATTTCTACACGATAATCATCACAATGAAAGCTTGCTCATGTACTATCAATACATTCGAATCATATCAATTATGTTATTAGAAATGCAAAAGAAACAAAAAGCCTCATTCACACCCATGGCACACAGTGCAGAAACGTACCTCAACAAATCTCTTGTAAAAGAGGTATTTCAGAGTTCTCAAGTGCCGCTGATTTATGACATTGGGGCAGAGAGCTGGAAGAAAGAGAAAGACATTTGAGTACACAACACAGCTAAATTCCTTGAAGTTTAACTGTCTAGACATGCCATTTTTCCTTCCCCAGTTTCAAACTGGGTACGTGGAAAGCAGGATGCCATCACACTTGGAACAATGATGGACAGACACACACATTGTCAGCTTAACTGTTATTTACACTCTAACCCATGATTAGCAATGCTAATCCTTGGTTCTGATGTCTCTGGTTCTACCACCTTGCAATGATAGATGCACTTGCTGGTTCAATATGCTTCCTAGTCAATGACTTCACACCTTTAATTAGGTGGTATCCTCCTAGAGGCACCACCTCCAGTCTCTAGAGGCTGTGCTATTTTGATTTAATTGGAACCTGTGCTGTTAATTCATTGAAGCAGTTTTGAACATGTTACTCAGGATGTAAACTTATGGCTAAAGTTTATCCGATAACATACATATCCATGAGAGAGATTCCATCTCCATACACAGCGGGAGGTGACTATTGTTTTGCTGAGCTAGCAAGCAACAGTTGTTGTTATTATTTTTATTACTGTCATCTTCATTAGATAGGCCTCATTAGAACTGCAAAACCCAAGATCATCACACAGCACCTTGTTTTGAAATCCAGCACAAAGAGAGATAACGTAGAAGATAAAATACATTAACCAGGATTAGCATATGTACATGTCAGTTCTTGCTGGATGCTGGTACGCATGTACAAGGAAAAGTTTAACCAAATCATTCACTGGGGTTTCAGTGGCTAAACCCATCTCACTGGTAGTCGGAAGGAGCAGGACCAGCAATTGGAAATGGTGACAGAAACCAGTAAAGCGAAAGGAAAACCTCCTTTGACTCAACGTAGACCAGGAGAAACCGGTTTTACCAAGTCATAGCGCCTCAGAGCTTTGCACTCCCCCTGCCCCACACATGTGGCCATGCCTGAGGAACAAAAACTGAGAATGAAGACTGAATACCAGCCCCTGAATCCAGAGGGATGGGAATTGATGCCCCACAGGTTACAGCAGCATCACACCATAACTTTACCATTTCCACCTCAAATTGAAATGTTGGAAGCTGTTATTTTTAAGCTCATCTTCCACAGTGTGACACCCTATCCTTACCCTCAAAGGATATGAGGAAATTATTGCAATTATCTCACTGGATATTAACCCAATAAAGAGTGATTCTTTCTTCTGGGTATTATCCCGATACCCAGAGGAACAATCAGCAGCTCATGGAAAGCAACACTCCTTAAAGAAGGCAAGATCAACATAAGAGTTAATAATGTCATCGCGTAACTTAAAGATTTCAAAGCACTTCAGAAAGGAGCAGAGCACAACTGCTTTGGGTCACCCAGGAGATCCATTGAGCTTAGAGGAAATATCCAAAGCCCGGGACTTGGCAGAACTGAGGGATTTTAAGTGCCCGGGTATCTGTGAGGGAAGTAGGACAGAGCACCATGGATGGACTGGAACAGTTTTGAAGCCGTAAGTGGCGTTTTCTATTCTGATGGAGCAAAAGAACTGAGTTTGAATTCAGTTTTCTATATTTGATTACAAAACTTGAGAGGGACTGATCAAAAGCATGAGAATGAAAGGTCACTTGGCAAGAGACAACGAAATGAAGAATTCAAAGCTCTAAGGAAGAACAGCAAAATCCAACAAGATAGACTTCAGTAAACTTAGAGAACTGGCAGGTAAGATTTCATGTGAAAATACTTTCTAAGCAGTTAAGAAGGGCTGGCAGTCGAAACAGTGGAAGTGAAGCAGGAGACCTAACTGCTAAATCAGAAACCTTTACTGATCTCAGTCCCAAGAAAGAAGTTAAAAGAACATGGAAAGTGGATCACATGCATACAGAAGAACAGGACAAACACATAAACTTAGAAAGGCCAAATTAAAACATGAGGTGCCTCTACCAAAAGCCATAAAGGCAAAAGATTCCATCCAGCCTCCTGGAGGAAAAAAACCAAAGCAATGAAGACACAACAAAAATGAAATGGCAAGGCTAGAGGAGAACTGGCAGAGGTGGTACAGGAGATGGCAAACTTTCCACCTTGGAGGTCTTTATCAACAGGTTCCATGTTCATCAGGGACTGTAGCAACATGACAAAGGGGAATGGGTTCAAACTTAAACAGGGGAAATTTAGGTGAGATGTAAGGAAGAAATTCTTTACTGTGAGGGTGCTGAGGCGCTGGTACAGGGGGCCCAAGGATGTTGTAAATGCTCCATCCCTGGCGGTGTTCAAGGCCAGGCTGGACAGAGCCTTGGGTGACATGGTTTAGTGTGTGGTGTCCCTGCTCATGGCAGGGGGGTGGAATTGGATGATCTTAATGTCCTTTCCAAACCTAACTATTCTGTGATTCTATGCTCTGTGTGTATCAGCAGTACCTGAAGGAGCTCCTTTGACTTTGGGGCAGGAGGGTGATGCAGGTGGCACTGCAGAGTCTTTGCCAGATCTTTACCCTGCCATTTCATGACCTTCTATCTACACTTTACATCTGCAGAAATCAAAGTGCTTCAGGACAGAGCAACTCATTTAGCTGAGTGAACAGGAGTCTGAACTCAGGTCTCCTGAGCCAAAACCAATGTTAGAGCAAAAGACAACATCCTAAGCTCTCCAGAACAGGAACCATGCCTCTATTCAGTGTTTGTACAATGGGGGTTTGGGATCATGACTGGCTTGTGGAGCACTAGTGGAATACAAATGGTATGAGAGCACCTCTTTGGGCATGTGTTAACTTTTAACCTGACAATTGCACCAGAACAGTGCTTCGTCTGAGCCATACTGCACACCTGGGACTGACTCAGGAGCAAAAATCCCAGTCTGCTTTTGGCCGTTAGCAGAGCGTCAATGGCCACCAGCAACACAGAGGAAGTAAGACTGAAATCCATCTGTCACACAGGGTATGAAACCCGCACTACACACTCATCTCACTCCTGTTACATGGGTAAGATGTGTCTGCTGGGGACATGCAACACATTTTTAGGTGTGGTGTGTGGCTACCACTCCCAGGTGACACACGATGCCTCCTCAGCTGGGATGTGGACCCAATCCTCTCTTTACACTGCCCTGAGAGCTTCTTTTCCTTCCATTCACAATAAGGCCCCTTCACCCTGGCAGAACAGAAGATGCCAGAAAAAGCACACCTTGTCTGGGGACAAAGTAAAGGAGCCTGTTCTTAATAAAACCATGGTACCTGAAATGCAAGAGGCTTTTACCCCAGTATTGCTAAGGACTGCAGGGACTCCCCTGAGAAGCAAGCTGGGCATTACTCTCTCATGTATTATGAGCTTAGTCCCCAAGTGTGAATTAGCGGAGGGTGAGGCCTGACTGAAGAAAACCTCGTTTTGTTGTTGCTTCAAAGATGCATTGGTGCCTTTCATCAAATGCTCTGTGCCACCACAGATCAGGGGCAGCAGTCCTCAGGTGAAACAGCAGAGGCCCAAGGTACCCCCAGTCTCCCGAGCTACCTGCCCTAGTGACTGGAGGAAGAGCAGAAAGCACAGCACAAGGGTTTGATCTATGCCTAAAGGGAAAAATGCCCTGGTGTGGTCTTTAGACACGTGTCTGGATATGATGAATTCATGCTCAGAACTGCAAGGATGGGGTCAGCTTTTCCAGCTCAAAGATTGGAGCTGCTGGCCAGCTTGTCTTGGTCTAAAGCAGATCATCTTCTATTGCCTGTACTTGAGTAGATAAAAATGTACCTGAGAAGGTAATGGCCCCAGAAAGGACGCTATGTTCAACCCCCTCTCCCTCCAGCTTGACTCTGCAGCCACTGCAGCCTCATGAATGGCTGGCTACTATCTTCAGATATCCAAGCCTAGAGGTTCTCAGTCACAGTGCTCTGTTGAGATGTGCTGGTATTTAACACGAGAGCTAAAACACTCTGAAGGAAAATCACCATGGAAGTAGGGGGAAACAACCCTTGTAAAGCAAATGCAAAGGGAAGGAATAACCTTCTGCTCTGTTTTAATGAGGAAAGGGCAAAAACATCTGGAATTTCCTCCT